ACTTGTAGTCTTCAAAAGTGATTCCAAATGCTTTTGCAAGGCAAGTTAATTGGTATAAACTTAAGGTGTTATATTTTTAGTATCAGAGCAAAAGGTTCTGGCATTGGATGAAATGCTCTGATTTAGCACAAAAGTTTACAAGGAAAAGTGTTCTAGACTTTAATGGTATAGTGAATGATTAGTGAAAGAGAGCCTTAATTGTCGTTCGCTTAGAGGTTCTCGCTCAAAAATTTATCCAAGCTATACAGTATAGTGCAAACTCAGGTCGTTTCACTTTTGGGAGCCTTTATTAATTATCTAAGCTAGACTAAATGCCATGCAATGCAATGAAATGGGGTTTTGGGTTTTTAAGACTTAAATGAATGGTGCCTAAGCTAAACGCAATGAAAACAAACCTAAGATACTATATTTTTGGTGTTTTAAGATAATAATGATGGAATGGAAATGAATGATAGGAAATCTCTTGAAAATGGCTTTGATGGCAATCATAGTTCACTTAAAATATTAAGAGTTTCACAAATCATTAGGTTTTCTTAATAACAACCTCAATAACTCATTGAGTCAAAAGCTTACATTAATAACTCATTAATGAAAACTTTGTTAAGCTTCCCTAATGTGTAAATTGGAATGATAATGCAATTGGCTTAATGAAACACACAATCAACTCAATACCCAACACAACTATGCAAGATAGGTGAGAATCATGAGAGAGACATTAAGCATATATGCAACTACATATATTTAAGCTCATATTTCAACATCCATCAATCCAAAATACAAAAGATAACCAGTAACCACTGATTACAGAATTAATCAAAGTATCTAACTAAGAAATTACAATTCCTAAACCTAGGAAATCATAAATGCCTAGCTAAAAACTGAAGATTAAAACTAAACTCCCCTTTGAAGCCTGGAAACTCATGCCACACCACCATTCTTCAAGAGTTGATAAACCCTAGCCCTCCATAGCTTCAAGAAAAGCTCCAACTGAAGTGAATCCGTCGGCCATGGTAGCTGGGAGTGGAAGGAATTGAGATGGAGTGAATGAAAGATGAAGGAAATGGATGGGGAAGAAGATGGAGGTGGAGAGGCAAGAGGATGAGAGAATAGAGGTGTTGTAGGAGATGGAATGGAGTGTATGGTCGAAAATAGGGTTTCTAAGGGTTTTAGGGGTCCATCTGGGTTGGATCATATGATTAGAAGCTCTATTTTCGCGTTCTGATCCGGATCTGGTGTTGTTGACACAAAGAGTTCGCCGCGGCGAAGCATGCCCGAGAGGAGCTCCGCCTAATCTTGTGATTTCGTCGCGGCGAAGCTGTAAGTTGGCCGCGGCGAACTCTGCCCGAGAGATTACTGGTGAGATTTCAATTTGGCGCTGCAACGAACTCTATTAGTGCTGATACTCTGATCTTGTGTTGTGTCATCCTTTGGTCTTTGATCTTGGCTCCAATTCTCAATTGTCCTACAATAAAAAGCAACAACTTGAAGCATCAATTGTCCTAGAAATCAACTGAATACAATTAATAACCAATTATGACAATCTTAACCTCAAAAAGACACTAACTCAAAGCAAGGACTCTTAATCTAAATTAAGCACAATTATCATCAAAAGGAGCCAAAATCTATGATAAATACCCTTAAAATGATATGAAATAACATAGAATAGTTGGGCTAAATCAATTAGGGAAGAAGTTGATATTCTTCCCTAGAGTACTACTAGATTAGTTAGTGAGTTGACTAGGGTTGCTCCTCAATAGGATGCTATGAGATAGAAAGGTAGACACGGATCCTCAAAGCAACAAAAGTACTCCAGTACCCTTAGATCATTGGTGGTACATAGGTTCCAGTAAGAGTTAGAGAAGGATGACTGGACTGTTAAGGTATGCCGTAGGGGGTGTGATTGGCTGATTGTGCTGCTAGTTTATGCTGCTTTGTTATACGAAGGTATGTGCCCCATATAAGTTGTGGCTTTATTCCTTTGATAGTTAAGTAATGTAATGAGATACTGAGAATCAGAGCAAAGGTTCTGGCAAGTATGTAAACAGAGTAGAGGTTCTGGCAAGTATGTAAACAGAATAGAGGTTCTGGCAAGTATGTAAACAGAATAGAGGTTCTGGCAAGTATGTAAACAGAGCAGAGGTTCTGGCAAGTATTTAAATAGAACAGAAGTTCTAGTAAAAGTTCTGACCAAGGTATAAGCAGAGTATTGGTTGAAGCAAAGGCCGGTATAAGGGAAAACCTAATTAGAAAAGTAACAGGTTACTATGATTTGTCCGACTGAGGTTAAGATATTGAGGTGTTTTCTCTAAAGGAAATAGCCATAAAAGAGAAGTAAGGAATAACAGAGAGTAACCTGAGCAATAGGTAGTTGCTGCTAAGAGACTTTCCCTCAAGAGAGGAATGGTTGGGCTGAGCAAGCTTGACTGGGGAATGAGTCACAGTTGAAAGACATCCCCTAAGGGTAATAGCTGAGAGTATGGTAAGCCAGGAAGGGGTAGAAGTCTAGACCCTAATAGGAAAGCAGGATGACAACCTAAGAATCAGATGATTCATTAAAGGTGCCTGACTAGAATGCCACATAGCAGAAATGTTTTGATGATCAATGCATACTGTGTGATATGGTCACTTTATGATTAGTAGATGACCATAGAAACGAATGGTTAAGGGTATAGTGAGCCAGTCAGAGGTATGAGTCAATGCTCTAACAAGGGAACCGAATGTCAACCTACACCTTAAGTAATCGATGTGACCTCGATAGAGGTAGAAATCCCTAAGGAATAGTGAACTAAGAGGGACAGAGATTAGATAATAATGAATGAAGGGTCAATGATGACCTAGGTGCCTGACCTAGATACCACACAGCAAGGTGATTAAATGTTCGCTGTGTGATGTGATGAGGGTATGGTGATTAATACCTGACCATATGAATAATCGATCAAGAGGTAAATAAAGTTAGAAAGAGTAAAGTCAGGCAAGATCCCTCTTGAGGTTAGAGATGAAAGGAAATGAATAAGAATATGATAGTGGATGGTTACACTGGGAATTGATACACATAGAGAGATAAGCAAGTTCCTGATGATACCTAGAGCTCGATGATGCTTAGATACATGATAATGTTAGGGACTAAACAATATTCTTTTATGTCTCGAAGGCATCTAAGAGCATGCAACCATAGCACTCATGCCATTAAGGAATTTAAGAGATGAGATTCCTATAGATAGATGCCACTACCTACACGATTGAATAATCTAGCAGAGAGGCTCCCTTTAATGGGGATATGGTATTCGAGGAATGTACCCTAGCAAAGATTGCATATGAGAAAAGTCTTGACCATGAAGTAGCTCTCTAAGATTGAGAAGTGGTTCTCTTAATCAGAGTGACACTACTCTAGTAAGAGTAAGTTAACCTCTAAAGAAATGAAAGGGAAAGTAAGTGGTTGAATTAATGATGCCCCAGTTAGAGCAATTGATCCTCCCACAAGGAAAGTAAAGGCAGCCAAGGCAAGGCACAGGACAGACCTTACCCTAGAAAAAGAGTAAAACTGGTTAAGGAAATAGAAGTGTCATATGCAAACAGATGCTCCTCGAGCTTAATAGGGTATTACGGGATACTGAAGGATAATGAGAATATGATGATACAAGTCTTCTCTTGATGCTGTCTAAATTTTAAGAGACAGCTAAGACTGTAGAGTCCTAATACAAGGCTGGCTGGCATTGATACAATGGCAAGTTAATGGGCTCTAGAGATGAGCTAGTGCCTAGGGATTCGAAAGGCACAAGGAAAGAAAAATGGCCTAAAGAAGCTAAAAGTAAGGGCTAAGGAAATATGGAAAGGCCAAGAATTCCAGAGTTGACAGAAAGGATTGAGTATAAGGCCTAAGAAGACAATACTGATATCTGTAATCAGTCTTGGGGAATAACCAGACAAGTTACTAGCTGAGTGGAGGTGACTTATTACTCAGTCCTGTGATCTAAAGTCTCCCAAGGATGGGAAAATGGCTCAAGTTGAGGAAAATTTTAGGGTCACGATGGATCCTGAAGAGGCTTATAGTAGAGCGCAGTAGCTTCCGAGGTCATGAAAGACTAAGCCTAAGAGAAAGTGGTTGAGCCACAAGAGCAAGAGTATAGTACCTCTTTGGGAAGACTATGACCAAGGATGAGTTTAAGATACTGAAATCTCCTTTAGTGGTGGACTAATTGATTGAGCTCAAATTATTCTTATCTTTTTATTACATCATCCATAGTTTTGTTGCATTTTCTGGCTCTTTTGGCTATAATTGAGCTTATTTTAGATCAAGAGTCCTTGCATTGAGTTAGTGTCTTTTTTAGGGTAAAATTGTCATAATTAGTTATTAATTGTATTTAATTAATTTCTAGGACAATTGATGCCTTAAATTGTTGCTTTTCAGTGTAGGACACTTGAGATTGGAGCCAAGATTGAAGACTCAAGGCACAACACTACTACAAAATGAAAAATACTCGACGGTTATTTTGGCTCATATTTGACAGTTAAAAACCGTCAACTATACTGGCGTCATATATTTCAACAGCAAATATTTGACGGTTATTAACCGTCAAATATTTAAATCATACTTGACGGTTACTAGAGAAAAACCGCCAATTATTTTGAGATTATACTTGACGGTTCCAAAAACCGTCAAGTATTCTGTAATACTTGACGGTTCCATAGAGTGACCGTCAAGTATTATAAACATACTTGACGGTTATTTTTGAAAAACCGTCAAGTATTATTTAATACTTGACGGTTTTAAAAGTAACCGTCAAGTATGTTATAATACTAGACGGTTTTAACTAATAACCGTCAAGTATTATTCGTTTTTTTTAAAAAAATTCGTTCTCCTTTGCCAGCAACCCCCTGCAATTTTGAAACCATAACAAAGGCTCATTCAACAGAATCATGCAGGCCAGCATTCAAACCAATTCAGCCATATACATATATGTTAATGAACCGAAAATAATTTACATTATCATATATATACATGAACCAATGAAAACCAACTGTGATATATTAAAATTCTGGCAAGTACAAAAAGGTGAACCAATTCCAAAATTAGCCAATTGCCAAAGTTGTGCAATGCCTAAAACTAACCAACAGCCAAAAATGAACCAAAACCAAAATTATATTGAAACCAAAGCTAGCTGTACGTACATACACTGTCTTAATGTACACTTCCCTATCTATGTTGTGCCCACTGACGGAATAAGGCCATCGCCAACTCCTCAACGATTTCTTCCATCTGAGCAGATGAATACACTGTGCAATATGTGTCGGCAAAGTACTGTATGCAACCACAAATTATGACTTAAGTTAGATAGAAATGTAAAGCTACAGTAAGTACAATAATTCTTAAATATATAAATTGAACCTTAACAAATGCATATTACCTGCGTGGGAATTGTGTCAGCATTGTGCAGAATTATCTCCTTCATAAATTTCATCACGCAATATCCACAATGGGAGCTCTTGTTGGGCTGACGTGGGCACTGTAAAGAATGGAAAAGGAAATAATATTAGTCAATCATATAAATAAACCATATTTAGTAGAATAGTAAATAATGGTAGTGAATACCTTCACTTTCTTCCACGGGAAGGTATCGTCAAATTGGCCGTTTTTTACCGGGGGCAGGGTAAGGCCTGATTTGTGCGGTATAGCCACAAAGCCCTGAGAAGACAATAAAATTGAATATTAATGATTGTCAAAAATTTGATTGAAGCAAGAAATTAAATTAAATTTAAATAATAGAGATAAATATTACTTGTTGAACAATGAAACCATAAATGGTCGATTGGTTGGATCCCCATGAAGAGAATCAAGATACCAAATCCTCGGCTTTGTGGGATTGACCACAATCAGCATCCAGTGTCCCCTAAGTATAAGAAAGACAATTAGAACTATTACAAATTATTTTGAAAATGAAAGAATTTAGGAAAGTTTACCCTTGACAATAAGGCGCCAAAAACAAAGTCTGAGCCCCCGGTGTTGCCCTAGAAATGAAGATATCTAACAAGTCTCTGGATAAGTCTTTCTTCATATTAGGTCCGTGGCCAGCAAAAGTGTGGGGGCTGATAATCTTGAACTTGTCATCAAGGCCACCAGGGGCTATGAAGTTCTTGAAAAGATATCTAAATCAACAAACGAAGATATCAATAGAATAAATGTTCAAGTACTTAAGTATTTAGTTAAGGTTTTAACAAATACCTGATATAAAAGTTACAGGCATTTGTGCTGGCCATTCCATGCGTCAGAATCTCTTTCAATACTTCATTTGTGACATAATCTGACGAGGGTCGACCGTATACCTCTGGCTCAAACTCTAGGGGAATCATGAAATCCTCGCCATGTTCTAATCTGGCCCCAATTGCATATTCCTCAAGACATATTCGGAATCTTGATGATACCACTTGAACGGGCTCAGAGGGCTGCTTCTGTGGTGATGATAATGAGTGATCACCCAATAGGCTCTTCTTCCCCTTAGACTGACAAACAGACTGTTAGTAATTAAAATAGAGTTTATTTTAAATCAGCTGAATTTGTAGACCTATACATATATACCTTTGAAGGATGTCCTAATGTAAGAAGACGGCCAGGCCAAGCGACAAAGCTACCCACTGCTTGAGCCACTGTCTCTGCATCTGGGGTGGGTATCGGGAGGGCATAATTTGCATCAATAGCAGTGTTCAACTGCACCCTCACATGATCAGCAGGGAGAGGAACATTATGAATTATACTCTCCCCTGGTAAATTGAACATGCGGCCCGTTGCAACAGTGTGATGTTTAGGGCTATCCGCCATACACTGAACGTCCGCTTCACCCTGATTTGTTTAACATGAGAGACAAGTTAGCTAGATATATAAATTATTGAATGTAATTATATAAACACAAGTATTATACCTCAGGTAGCAAGGGGAATGTGCAGCTGTCTTTGCCACTTGGGCTGAGATTCGGAGCCGGCTGTGGTGCTTGATTCTTGATCAACTGCTCGATTAGGAGCGCTTGCACTTTAACTGCTCCTTTAACCAGCGTGTTTCTTCCTTCAGCTCCATGAACTCAGCAGAGGAAGGCGTGCACGATGAAGAGGGCTTTTGTCGGTACCCAAAGTAATCTCTCTTGGTGACTCCATAACCGACACCCCTAAGAAGACCAGGATGGTCAGGAGTCCCCAATGCCCTCCTCAATATATCCTGGTCATCTGCAGAATATGCCCCCTGCGAAACTTCCTGGGACAAACTCTCCTGTGCAACAAACATTGATATAGTTATTCATACTTAAAGATATTTGACAATAACGTGAAGATTATTTAATTTAGAATAATACTCACCATCCTGTCCACGACCTCCTTAACGCGAGGATTATCAATTTGGCCATCTTTATTTTGCCTGGCCAGTGCCCACAGCATCTGACGTGATACAGTGACATCTGATCCCTCTTGTGAGTCACCTCTTGCTCAAGGCCCGCATAACCCAAGCGGCCCTTTCGGTAGGGATACTCATTCTTCTTTACTCTTTCCTTATTTTGGGAACTTAATTCCTGCAAAAACAAAGTAGATTCACAATTAAACAATATATAGATTAAACAAAATGGACTATTTAATATCAAAAAGAGCGAGGATTATTACTTGAAATTGCCTATCACGACGTGACGTCACAAAAGCAGCCCAATCCTCTGGTTTGACCAAGTCCCGTATCAAGCTAGGAACCTGGGACTCGTCGGCTGTGGAAGGATCCTTCAAGTACTTGTGTGTGACAAAATATCGGAAAGAGCGTAGTGCCCTCCCAGCCTTCCCCTCCACAAACCTCTTCCTGCTCTCATCTATATCAAATGCAGACTGCAAAACATATAAAACAACACATTAGTGTCACGCAGCTTGTAAGAAAACGAAATTTGAGTTATAATATATTACCGATACATCTGTCCAAATAGTGTCTCGCACTGAACGATCAACCCTCCTCCAGTGCTGCGCTGTAATGGGCACGGTGCTTCGTGCCACTGCCCCAATATAGCTGATAAATTTATTTGACCGTACAGCTTGTCCTTTCTTATTCCACTGTACGGCAAATTTCTTTCCTTCTGTTCGAGCTTTCACGACCTCTTGCATGACACAAAGGCCCCTCTGTATGCGTGCTGCCTCCTCTTGCAACTGTCTCTCCTGCTCAGAGGCATCTCTCGGCTGAGATGGGTTATCAGTGCTAGATCCGCTATCGTCTGCCATCTGCAATGAAATTGAAGTAAACAAAATGAATCAGAATCCATTAAATGAAAATAAAGTCATTAATGACGAAATTTATTTGAACAAAATTAAAACAAATAAAAGAATCAAAGAAAATAATGAGAGAATTTACATGCATGTTTAAGAAGATCTTTTTCTTTTTCTACTCTTATGTTTTTGCATGTTCTTCTTGGTTTGAATTGTTTTGATCTTCTTACGAAACACTTTCCCCCTCTTTGAAATCCATATTCCGTCGTTGTGATCATGCCTGACATACATGGATTGATCTTCATTTAAATGAGAATCAAGTGAGGCCCCTTGAAATGGATCATCTTCAATTGCATTGTCTTCATACCCCGTCTCTTCAATATCCATTTTATTAGTCAACAAAACAATAGACCATCCTTTGGCAGCCGGGTCAGGGACATAAAACACTTGCGTAGCCTGAGAAGCCAAAATGAATGGCTCTTCCTTGTATCCTTCTTTATTCAAATTCAATTGTATAAACCCTAAGTCATCAATCCTCAATGCATTATTATTATCCACCCATTTGCAACCAAATACCGGAACTCTGAATTCAATGTAATCCAACTCCCAAATATCCTCAATCACTCCAAAGTATGACATACGTGCATAGATAGGATTTTTATCTTTGGCACTCGATATATGCATGGTACTAGCTACAAGAGTTACGCCACTATTTTGCTGTTTACTCCGATCATCTTGTTGTTTAGTATAGAAAGTGAACCCATTCATAAGGTAGCTTGTGAAAGAAATCACATGTTTGCTCGGTCCATCTGCCAACAACTTTAATTTCTTCGAAACAGAATTAGGATCATTATTATACTTGCCATGCACATGCTCTCTCAACCATGCTGTAAATTGTTTATTGTGTGTTTTGGTGTACCAACTTTCAAGTTTATTGGGATTATCCCTCTTTAGCTCATCAATATGCTCATGCACATAGTCCTCAATCTCTTCGGAGTTGTGCAATACATATAGATGTGCCTGCTCCCACTGTTGGTTTGAAATAGTTACGACTTTCTTTCCCATAATCCCTTCTCCATCTGTCCTTCCCTCATGACGAGACATTGGAACCCCAATATCACTTGCATTTTTTAAGTAATGGGTACAAAATTCAGTAGCCTCTTCACAAATATATCGTTCTACAATACAACCCTCTGGCCGACTTCGATTTTTCACATACCCTTTCAATATTTTCATGTAACGCTCAACTGGGTACATCCATCTTAAATACACTGGGCCACACAGTTGGACCTCTCTAACTAAGTGGATGGTTAAATGGACCATGATGTCAAAAAAGCCGGAGGAAAATACATTTCAAGTTCACATAACGTAACTATGATTCGGGTTTGCAATCTTGGCAATTTACTAGGATTAATCACTTTGCTGCAAAGAGACTTAAAGAAGAAACATAACTTTGTGATCGTAACTCGTACCTTATCAGGTAAAATAGCCCGTATTGCCACTGGAATAAAGTTTTCCATTAAGACATGACAGTCATGAGATTTTAAACCTTTTAACTTCATATCCTTCATTGACACAAGGTTACTAATGTTAGAAGAGTAACCTTCCGGCACTTTTACTGAAGCAAGAAACTCACAAAAACTACTTTTCTCTTTTCTAGAAAGGGTGTGAGCTGCCGGACGAAGAAATGTACGAGTTCCCTTATCCTCTGGTGCCAATTCCTCCCTTATCCCCATTTCAACCATGTCTAGCCTGGCATTTATGCCATCTTTAGTCTTCCCGGGAATATGGAGTAATGTGCCAAACAGACTTTCACATACGTTTTTCTCAATATGCATAGCATCAAGAAAATGTCTCACATTCAGGGTTATCCAATACGGCAGTATAAAGAAAATAGACCTCTTCTTCCACCCACTTGTCCCAACATGCTTCGCGAAAGGTTTTCCAAATTCACAATCTATATCTTTCACCTTTTGAAATACATCCTCCCCAATCAACGGTGTTGGTGCCTTACCTTCTTCTGAATTCCCATTAAATATTTTTTGAATCGCCGGTAAGGATGATCACGATGCAACCATCTACGATGTCCCATATATGAATTTTTCATTCCATGCTTCAACCTTATGGAATCTGTGCTCTCTTCACAAATGGGACAACCAAGTTGTCCTTTAATGCTATACCCTGAGAGATTACCATACGCAGGAAAGTCGTTAATTGTGCCAAATAACATAGCTCTCAACTTGAATTTTTCTTCCTTATATGCATCATATACATCAACTCCATTCTCCCACAATACTTTCAAGTCTTCAATTAATGGAGCTAGATATATATCTATGTCATTTCCCGGTTGCTTTGGCCCAGAGATTATCATAGACATCATTGAATACTTGCGTTTCATGCATAGCCATGGAGGAAGGTTATATATAAACAAAATCACTGGCCATGTGCTATGGGTGCTGCTTTGCATCCCATAAGGGTTCATCCCGTCGGTGGCTAATGCAAGGCGTAGATTTCTATCTTCTTCCCCGAATTCAGGATACTCAATATCAAACTTCTTCCATTCTGGAGAATCAGCAGGATGGCGAAGCATGCCATCTTTAACCCTTTCATCTGCATGCCACCTTAAATTTTTCGCATCTTCTACATTACTATACAAGCGTCTGAATCTTGGCACTATGGGAAAATACCATAATGCCTTCTTCGGGCTCTTCCCATTCTCTTGGTAGCGTGATGCATTACACTTAGGACACTCAGTTAGTGACTTATACTCCTTCCTAAACAAAATGCAATCATTGGGGCAAGCATGTATCTTCTCATAGCTGAGGCCGACAGAGCGCAACACTTGCTTTGCATCATACGTTTTACTTGGAAGCTCATTTTCTTTCGGTAGCATTTGTTTAACAAGCAACAGCAGTTCTGTGAAGCCTGTGTCGCTCCACCCATTTCTTGCTTTCAAATTATACAGTTTCAACACTGCAGACAATTTTGTGAAATCAGTACAACCTTCATATAGAGGTGTCTCAGCATCACACTTCAATCTATCAAACATTTCAGGACAATCGTCAAGTTCCCGTTCAATCGCATCTGTCATCTCCTCAAGACGATCAGCTTCACATGTACTCATGTCAAGATTAGATGATCCACAGCTTTCACTATGCCCTCGACTACTATTACTCACATCTCTTGTCTCTCCGTGCTTTGTCCAACACTTGTAACTTTGATCAATTCCATTGATAATTAAGTGGCTCTCACAATCGGATGGCGAAACCCACTTCAAAAGGCAACACTTAAGACAGGGGCAAATAATCCTGTTGCGATCATCGGCGTGCTCAATCGCAAACTTAATAAAATCTTCTACCCCATCCCAATATTCTTTTGATAGACGATTGGCGGACATCCATTCTTTGCCCATGGTCCCCGACTAAGATGAATCATTTAGA